TCACATTTTCAATAATTTTCTTGCTATTTCGATATATATTTCCTGAATAGATGAACATATAATTGGAATTTGATGAATATCAAAATATTCAAACTCGTGACACGACATTTCCGCGCTCGACACCACCGCGCAAGATGAAGTGTTCTATTTTTTCTGCTTTCGGTTAATGCATCTTCGAAACTTCCATTAATAGATTTGTGAGTCTAGGCTCCGGCGCAGAGTGTGAGTGGGTGCGGAGTATGCGTAGTGCAATTCGGTAAAAGTTCGGAACTGATGAACTGCTTGTAAAAGTGATGTGATCTTTTTTGACAGTTCAGCGCAGATGAAATGAACTGTTCAAAGAGTTCTTCCGACCTTAGGTGAACTGCTCAAGCAGTTCTACTCAGATCGACACCTGATTGAGGAAGTCATCTGATGGACCTCACGTGTTTCGAAAGATAGATTGTTTTTTATGGAAAACTACGATGCTGACACTGACACTTGGGATGCTAGAGGCATCACCTGAATCGCTAGAGACATCGCGTGGATTGCTAATAGTATTACCTAGAATGCTAAAATCATCACAAGGATGCTGGAAGCCTCACTTGGGTTACTGTAGGCATAATCTCGGATAGCACAGGTATCACTTGGGTTGTTCGCAGCGGCGTAAGTGATGCCCCTTACTTTCCATGGGACACTTATAGCATCACGCAATATAATCAGCATCACAGGTGATGAGCTTAGCAGCCTAGGTGATGTCTCTAGCATCCCAGTGATGCTACTAGCATCTCATGTAATGCTAGTGGCATGGTAGGTGATGCTTCTGGCATTCCAGGTGTGGGTGTGGGTGTGGGTGTGGATGTGGCTGAAGAGAACATCTATCTCTACATCACACCCACACCCGCACCCACACGCAGGGTGTGGGTGTGGGCGTGTGGGTGTGCGTGTGCGTGTGGGTGTGGTGTAGAGATAGATGTTCTCTTCAGCCACACCCACACTCACACCCGCACCCTCATCTTCACCCACACCCATACCCACCCACACCCACACCCTCACCCAGATCCCTCCCGCCGTTACCCAGACCTCCCCCTCTCGCTCACTATCATTCGTGACTTCCTTGTGTTGTAATTTTTGGTATTTCTTTAAGTTTTGAGAATCATTCAAAAAAAATTCCAATTTTGTCTAGACGAAATTGGAATTCTAATTTCGCCTAGACGAATTCTGACTTCGGTCATAACCTATATATAATTCAGTGAATGACTGATCGAGTTGATACTGGTGTAATGATGACGTCTCGTCGTCGTCCATGTGGAATAACACTTGACAGAGTGTTGCAAATCTTTTCTTCATTTTTGGTTCCATTATTGTTGAATGTATTCACAATAGTGATTGCTATTTATCAACAAAATATCGGCAATGATAATCGATTAACCAACATTGCGATCGCTTAACAACAACGACTTCAAGATTTTCAACAAGCTAAGGAACAGCGAGAGGCCGATTACAATGCAAGCATTCAACAGCGATTAGAGGATAAATAATCTCGGGAAGACCAACGTAAACAAGATCGACAAATGGCTGAACGAATGCAAGACAGCTTCACTAAGCCGTAGATAGAATTACCACAAACATTGGATCCAATCGCCAGACAAATAATGTAACAGAAATTGATCTGAAAAAATGGGCTGATCAACTGCAACAACTTCAAAATTTGCTTCAACAACCGTATCCAATTACTCTTGTAAGCGAGTCTAAATCCACAAATACAATTCATTTTATCAAAGCAACATATGAACCGCATACCCCCAAGATAAAATCAAAAATATCGAACCAGGTGATCAACCAACATTGACTGTGGATTGTGATCATGCCCAACTTGTTTCTCGCTCATCATCAATGAAAACAGAATGTTCAATTATCCGTCGATATGAATAAATATCCACCATTTCCATGAAAATTATTTGTTTCTTCATATGATAAAGACAAAATCCGTATACTTCACCAGATCGACAAATGACAATCACACTAGTGTTTGGTTTTCTATTGACATAAAGCCAATCTTACCTTGAATGAATCCTCGGTAGGGTTTAATCCAAATTAAATCGATAGATCATCATATAAAAGAATTGTCTAATTTATTATGTATTGAAGAAAAACAAACAAAAACAAACGAGTTGTCAAACATTTTAGTTGTCTCTAATCTACGTAGCTACTGCATACAATATGCAGAAAATCACAGCCAAAAACGAAATCTTGAAAGTTCAATGTCATTTCGACTATTGGGAAATTGTATTTGAACCATTGAGTGATAAGGTTCAACTTTTTCGCAATCGATTTCGCCATGAATATCGAGAAAGACAAATTCTTTCAAATGTTCAACTAAGTCACAAAGATTTTGTCTAAAGATAGCCACATGTTGAGCTAAACAGAAAGAAATTTATTATTTATTGGTTTCCTTTTATAAGCATGTTTTATTTACGTACCAATCAATTCAGGTGTTCGTAGAGATTGAAACCATTGTCGAAGCGAAACTGCATAGAAATATCCTGGCTTAAGATTTGGTCGAACTTAACGAAAGAAAAAAAAACAGGAGTATTACAAATTGTTGAATTATAGATATTATTCATTTTTTCTTTTACTGAACAAGATGGACGATCATACAATATCTCTATTTATTTTAGTTTCATTTTTGAAAAATAGTGTTAATTCTTTTCTTTTTTCTTGAACGTAACAATTATTATTGCCTAACGATATTTTTTTAGAAAAGAAAACCAATCAGACAGAATTAGGTGTCTTATATATAATTGTAAATAATTCTATCTATTTATGTTACATATGTAAACATTAGAAATTGTTTCTTCACGATCTATACTAAATTCGATACTTTTAAATATACCATGAGTAAGACTCCTATTCCGATAATTTTTCTTTTCTCGATTACTTTACTTCATTTTTTAACAAAAACATTCTGAGGAAACAAATCAATTGATATGAATTTGATTTCTATTTTAATGAAAAAACTTCTCGTATTTTATCATGACTATGTGTCCAACTGTTAGGAAAAGAATTATTAAAATTAGGAGATGATTTAGAAAACCTTGGTGTACAAACAATAGAGTCACAACCTATGTACATCTCCTGTTGGTTCATCCATGTGTGAGCATTCGGTCACTACATAGCTAGACGCTCTGACCTCATGACCGAAAATAGCTGTCCATTCTTTCTGTGCTCTACTCATCATTTTCTCTCTCCTCATTTCTCTCCTATATAAACTCGTGTTCTATGTAAAGTAGATACAACTGGAGTGATAAAATAGTATTATGAACATCGTATACAGAAGATAGCGGTAACGTTACTCCTCCAGTTTGTCATTGTGATCACAATAAAAGAAATGCTGCAGCAATACGAAAGAGTCTATCCCTCTTTTTCGTTACACTTGGTACATGTTATTTCTGCCTCAATTTAATTTTGATATTAGACATAGTCATATGCCCAAATAGTAGTAGCATATATATTTCATAAATTTCAGTTACAATAAATAAGATAAGATTAAAAAAACACAACAGTGATGTTTAATAAGCATCTCTAAATAAAAAAATTTTCATGATTTCATCGAGAATTTCATAATTGAATTTTAAATCATATTATGAAAAGTTTGAACGAGCAAAATAGAAAATAAAACTTGCAGAAATTGATTTTATTTCTAAAGCATCGTTTCGGAATTATAAAATACATTGATTCCAATTGCATAAAATTTAAAGACAGCTGACGGAAAATAGAATTCATATAGAAACTAACTTCTTTAAAATTCGATTTTAAGTTTGCATCAGCTTCATTAATTAAGCGTTAATCGAAATTGGCAAATTAAACAATAGAAAAAAGTATTTATCATAAACGAGCCGTATGAGAAATTTGTTGTGATTAGTTTTCTTTTTAAAAAACATACGTACTAGATATCCATGGAAAATCATCTGATCGCCAAAGATGCAATGTTTGTAAATGAGGCATATAAGTGCTAAGAAAAGGCACAAGATTTTTTCCAATATGGATAGATTTGTTTGAGCCACGATGACAACTGGGAAGGCGAAATTCAACATAGCGCACAGTATTCAATGCACTTTTTCTTAATTCATTAGATGCCTAAAAATAAAGTGTAAAAACATAAATAGAATAACATCAAGCTATCATGTGAGCTGACTCGTCAAAAAGTGGCACATTTAGTTAACTTTTCTTTGTATAGTTTTTCCTTGAAGACAAGCAGCTATCTGTAGGATGTTGAGATCTTTAGTTTCTTCGTGTATTTTTCAACTTTTGCAGCGCTGTATTTATTGTCAATGAACAAAATAAAGCGCATCTTCTATTTTGTTTTTGTTTAATAAAGCATACATATTATGTCTTATAGAAATTAAACACAAAATATTAAACCATTGTTTTCATTGTATTTGAGAAAGATTTTCTTTCCATCTTCAGTTATCAGGTCTCTATTCAAGAAATATGTCTCAAAATCTTGAAACAAATTAGAAAAGTCAATTTTTTTAATTATATACGATGTCGTAATGGATACGTTTTTCTTTTCTCTTTTCATTATGTGAATTTGAAGTGTGATATGAAATATTCCTTAACAGAATGGAAAAGAACTTGCCTTTCGATAACTACTGGTCGACGCGTTTAATGTCAGTTCAAAACAGAAACAAAACTATTTTAACTGTTTAGGTTCGTTGGAATACCGTGTATTCGATTTAAGAACAATAAACTATGTCAAAAGCACTATCCTGAAGAGTTTATTGTTAGCAGCTAAAAAGAAATCGGCTTTCATAATTTTATTTACTCTTTGTCAATGGATATTTAAATATGAGTAAATATACTTTTAATCACCAGGAAAAAGATATTTTTGATCATCACATGTTTAGATACAAATGATCACCAAAAAAGAATAATTTTGATCGTTAGGCTTTTATTTCGATCCAATCTTCTTGTCTCTATTACATGAAAAAACATTGCGACTTTCGTATATTCAGCGAAGATTGGCTTTACTTCCAAAAAAAACTTGTTTCGTTTTATGTTACGATCCTGTAAAAAGTTGTTCGCTTATAGAGATGCAACGGCGACGATCATTCACCGGTCTACCGTTAACTAGTCCAAACCGATAATCGTTCGACCGATTATCGGTCCATACTAATAATCGTTAGACTGGTTACTGGTGGGCTACGGTTATAGATCAAACGCTTACCGTTACTGTTGTATCCCTATATTCTTTATCATTTACATTATATTCTTGATACTTTTCTTAATACATAAATAAAGAAGTCATAAAGTAGTCGTCCTAAAGCTTTATCATGTCCAACTGGAAATGAAAAGTAATTTGATTATATATTTCTCCTTTGTTAAACAATTCGTGCTTTTTCTTCTCAAAGAATTTGCTTGCTTAAGACCTTGTTTGTTGTCTATTTGGTAATGATAGATTTTATTTCATTGTATAGTATTGAAAAAGATAGAATACTTATTCTTGCACAAGGTCCATTTATGTCATCATAATGGGCGCATTTGTTTTTACCAATACTCGTTCAAATTCATAATTTGCCTAATTCAAGTTCGAATATAAGTGAAGCTCTCACAGCTTCATTTCATTTCAAAAAATAAATGCAAAAAAAAGAAACAGCACTTCCGCTTCCAACGACCAAAAAGCCAAAGATAAATTTTTTATGCCAGTTATAAATTATAATTTATACAGAGAATTTCATACGACAATGTCAAAAGGCAAAAGATAAAGTTTTACCACATATATAATTGATATAGAGACTTGAGCATGAGAGTGGGAGCGATGATGAGAGAAAACCGTATGGCGATATCGGTAGAAACCCACATGCGGATAATCGTCAAGGGGAAGGTCTTTTAAATGAAAGGGGAGGAGCGAGGGTGCGAGTACGGATGAGGACGAGGGGAAGCCGTGTGTCGATATTGGCAAAAGCGGAATTGCGGTTGGTAGTTAGAAGAAAACGCTTCTTTTGCTGTGTTGTATGGTTGAAATTTAGTGAAAGCCGTTTTGATGTCCCTGTTCTATTTTTTGAGTGTTTAGTAGCTTTGGTGTTTCTATACCTCTAATTACTGTATATATCTTTATATAACTTATAATTGAGGTAAAAACCTTGTCTTTGACTTTTTAGCCATTCTAGTGGATAGCCTATGAGTGAATTATAATTTATAATTGAGGTAAAATTTTATGCTTGGCTTTATGGCCGCTTATAACATAACTGCTTATATAAATTATAATGTATAGTTTATAATTTGTAATATATAATGGAAATAGAGTTTGGCTTTGGCTTTGTTCATGAAAGTGTCTATGAAATTTTGAAAATTTCATTTATATTCTAACCCGAAATAGACATCTACTCTACAAATTAATTGTCTTAAACACCGCTCATTAGATTTAACAATTTAAAGTTAGATGATCAATATAAGTACTTACGTATTGAACAACATGTAAAAGCCACTCGAATTGTTCAACTCGAAGTTCATTTAGTTTAATAGGCATTGAAATAAGATGCGCTAACATCTTTGCACGTGCCTTGATTTGATCAATTGGTTCGGTGCACATTTCTACAAAGAAATTTCATTTACATTTTGTTTTGATAATAATAACATATTTTAAATAAAAAAATATGCCTATTTCTAGCCAATATTTTATAAGATTAATGGGCAACTTTTTCAGAACTTACTATTTAAATGTTTAACTTTAAAGTAGTATAAGAAGAAACGAAAGTAAAATGTTTGAAATGAATCAATTCTGAACTGAGAGTTTGCAAATGGAGTTTCTCAAAAGAAATATCAGTTTTCTCTTTAGATGCAACTAATATGTAGACATTTCAATGACAAAAAATGCTATTACTAAAGCTGTATTGAGATATACAATGGTAATAATTACAAGAATACGGTATTTCTATAAATAATGATTCTCCATGGGTTATTAATACAATTAGTAAATAAACCTGACAACATGACAAGTATATCATAGGTGATCGGTAAAATTAATTTCGCGAATATTGATATGATATATAAAAGGTGACATTTTTAATCTCCTGGATCTCGTAAATTCTTGTATACTTTACGAGCTTATAAAACAATCAAAAAATCACTCCCTCTTGCATTCTATAGCGTTAATCAGCTGTACATATGTATATTTTATCGTGTATGAAACGTGGATTGCAGCCGTATTGATGAACATTTCGCTTCACAACTGTTTATCGATACGACAGAACGAAAAAAATTCTTGCATTCTGCTTGTCTCCAGCCTGAAAACAATGGAATCCAAGAGATTAAGAATTTATTTATTCATAGGATAACATTTCATTTCTTGGTTCTTTTAAGTACAGCTAGCGGTAATATAATTAGACAACAATATGACTTTCTTATAATCATGTTACACCTAAGTGTACGTAAGAAAGCAACACACATACGATTATTTGCCAAATATGACTTTTTGTTTATGATAATTATATAATCAAATTGATTCATCAATTTTTACCTACTAATACATCATTCTCATTTGTATAACAATGAACTGTTAATCAAATTATACTAAATAATTTATCAATACTGTTCATTCAAACCACATTGCTCGGTAACTTGGAATCATAAGTGACTGAATGTTCTTTTTTAACCATGTTACACGATCATTTGAATCATGTAGTCATTACATCATGGTCATGGAAATCATCTTATTGATAGGTAAACAAACGAACACAGACGAATCTCGATTTCTAGACATTATTTTAATCTAAGAACAACTATCTTTTTGAAGCGATGGTAAATTGACTTGATTTGTTTTATGAACGGGATCCGAATGGTTGTTCGTCGGACAGTTGCATACTGGCATTTGCTCGCTAAGATACTTGCTCGCTAGGATATTTGGTCATGTGGACCGTTGGTCGCGTGGACAATTGCTCGGTAGGACATTTGTTCGCGAATGAAAAAGAAAAACAAGCAAAACGATTTCGAGTGAAGAGATTATTTAGAGAAAAGATTTTGAACGAAGGAAGATGTAAGTGAGGGTGAGGACGGGGATGTGGGTGATAGTGAGGGTTGTGGTTGAGGAAAGAGTGAAGGGGTTGGAGTGTGTGTTCATGATGATGTTTTTTTCGCTAGTTTGTGCATTCCCTTCTTTTAGTTTGCGGAGTTGTGGGTTTGAGTAAATATCGTCTGTGATTTTTACCTTTTGCTGTTGTGTGTTTTCATCAGTTGACACTATATGAAGTGATTGGTTATTCGTATAATTGTTTCAGTCCGGCTGTTTTTTTGATGGGTAGAAAGTGAAAACGCCGCCGGAACTGGAAAGGTTAATTAATCTTTATGTGGATCACATTGACATTGACGATTATTGTTATAATGATTAGTCGTGTTGATTCATTATAGGCATTTAAAAAGCCCCGTGCGAGTCGTAGAATAGTTCATTAAGAAAACAATGATGTCAGTTACTCATTCAACAATCTGGAGAAATGCTCCGTTACTTATCTACGAAGGGTATTCTTATATTATTTATAAATGAGGCACCAAGAAAATATTATGGAAATGCGAACACGCCGAAAAATTTAAGTGCCATGGTCGATTACATCCTGATTTAAATGACATATTTATCCAAACCGTTGGCGATCATGAAACTTATAAGGTAGATCCACGTTTGTCGTTTGTGTTTTCTGTTGTTATTGGGCGAGAAAATCTTCATACGTCTTTTTCATATATTTGCTTTAAAGCATTTTTAGGAGCAAGTGTCCTAGCGAGCAACTGTCCTAAACCCTTTATGAGAAGAACGTTTGTGTTGAGTATTCAGTAGCCAACAACAACTACATATGGTTAGTCTATTTTCTTCTAATATGGCACGATCATTCTCTTGGATATACATACATGTTCGATTCTTACGTTAGTCGAAAAATCTAGAGATAGATTACGATATTTTGAATATTATGGTCATAATTTTCGTAAATATCGACTACGTTCTATTATTATCTTTTCATATTGATCCCTCTTTAATAATACTTTGATCTGAATCTCATCTAAGTTGTAAAGATTTTTCAAATGCTAAGTCAGTACACGAAGAGAAATCAATGGCTAAACTATTACAGATACAAATCAGTAAAATTAAATAAAAGTAATGAATTTAATTGAGACTTTTTGTTAAAAAAAAGTTATTTATTAGAATTTATATATGATCTATTTGGAATACACTTTCATAACAACATGTACAGATTATATTTGAAGTGTAAAAATTTAATGCACACTTACTGTAATGACGCGAAAAATGAAAGCCAAATTCAAGTCTTGTAACATATCGAAATTGAATATCATTCAGCATGTGTTGTCCTATTTCGAATGGTGCACGTAAGGACGTTGAATAGTGTGGATCACAAGTAATACAGTTATAGTCTGCAGAAAAGTAAATATTTTAAATATCAGAACTTTTATTTTATTAAAGCATATCATAAATAAATTTGATAAGTATTCAGAAAAATAGTTCTATTTGTGCAAGTACTTCAGCGAAAGGAGCTTTTTTTGTTCTATTCGACTTATTCTCTAATCATTTACGAATTCAGATTGACGATAAAGAACTATTTCACACAAATTTCTCTCATACAGACAAAGAATTCGATATAGAATTGATCTTATTAAGGCGAAACAGTTTGGCAGTTTTAAAGCAAATTATGGAGATAGCGAACTTTTGTTATCTGTCTAATTCATCTATCCGTAAACTCTGAATAATTCATTAGTATAACAAACACTCACCCATATGAACTTTCATCGAAGAGATTTTTGGAAATATTGTATCAAGTCGTTTGAGAAATAGACAAAGTGATGGATGCATATTGATCTCAATATTTCGCATATGTGGCCAATCAACAAGGTATGGATAACTACTATAAAAGAAAAGAACACTGATGTATAAGAAAAATATAAAAGCTTAAAAGAGACAAACATCTTACATTAAACCGTCGAAAACTTTAGGTGGATCAACCATAGAAGAAGAAAGATGTTGATCAGATATTATGGGATCAAAGAAACATGTAACATTTGTCCACTGGCGATCAATAAAAAAAGGATGAATTTTAAATGAATTAATTATTGTTTCGACACTATTCACTGATAACTGCTGACACTTTGAGGAGATGTAAAAATCAAAATCAATTAAGTTTGTCGCTATATCAGGCATACAATATTGACGAATGAAATTCGCATCAACGACAGAATTCCAAATAACTGCATCAGTTCTGTTTGTATCAGTATTTCCAAGACGAAGTTTAAGTTTTTGAATATGATTAAGATTGTTAAGTATCCATTTCAAATAGACAAACTCCAAATCGTTATCAATGAAAGTTCTGAGAATAAAATATTGAAGTTTGGGTACCTATGATCAAAACAGAAAGAAAAATTATTGCGAATCAAACATATATATATATATGAACATTACAATGGCCAATTATTCTAAGCAAACTTCTAAAATAACAATAAGCAAAAATTGATGAATTATTACTTCTTCAAGACAGAACCTGACTTAAATCCATAATTACACAAGTTAGTCGACTAAGAAATTTTTTCAAATCAAATCTATTTTCTATTAACTGGAATTATTTTCATCGATTTTCTCCTTATATATTGTACTTGAGTAATATCTGTTAGTATACTTCCACAAAAAGGTACAATTATGAAGAAATATCGACTGTTTATTTACTTTGCTACCTGTTTGAGCTCACTACAATCTAATGATAGAAACCTGTACTGCAATTCTTGAATCATCCTGAAAAGTGTTGCACGCACATTGCCAGGGAAACTATTATATTTTTTGATTAGTTTTAACGTTTGTAGAACTGTTTTCGTCATGACAAATAAAAAACTCATTCTATAAATACCCACTATAATACGATTTATACTATTAAAACTTTCGAAAGAACGCTCTTAAAATGATTTGAGAGTGAACGAAAATTCGAAATTTGTCAGACCATCGGAACAACTTTAATTAAGTCAGTCAAATCAAATCTGAATTTATTTTGATTCAAATGATTTCGATCTGATCTTTTTAGCTCAAAATATAAATTCTGATCAAGTGATCTGGATTGAATGATTTTTATCAAGACAATAATTTAAAATTGAATAGTTGGTAAAACTGAGATATGATATAATATTATTTTTCAAATCGACTGATTACGAAAGATATTTGACTAAAAGAAAAGTAAATAGAATGTGCATTTGTCTTACCATATCAAACCATTTGCTCTTTGCTTGTATAATGTCTTCAATAGTTAACTTAGATCGAGGATTCAAGGTCAATGAGTGTTCAAAATGAATCGATAGTTGTTCGAGAGCGGGCACATGATCAATCAAATAATGCATAAAACATGTATAACTAAGACGAATATGTAAACGACGCATAGTTAAACAAGAGGATTGAAATTCATTTCTTATTGAGCTTGAAGCAAGGTTATATGGAAGAGGTAAACATTGATAAATACCAATAAAAAAATCACCATCAGCAATATCAAGACGCAAAGAAGTTAGTTGACATTGGCTAGAAAAAAGTTCATGTAGAAGTTGTTTCAGCATGGCAACTTGTTTCTCTATTATGTAAAAATTAAAAACAGAAAATGGATTTTTTGTTATAAGAGAAATAACTACATTGTTCAAAGAAATCATATTTATTCATATGTAACCCTTTAAGAGAAAGGCTCCTCTCCGAACCTAAAATTTTCAAGTTTATCAGTCTTTACCTTCAGTATACAGATTTAAAAGCTCTCTATCGATGATTATTTTCAAAAACTGAATGTCTCTCATTTATGTATACAAAAATTCAAAGAAAAACCTATATTTCACTTTAAAATCGAACAATGCAATTCTTTTCGATTCTTCAAAAGGAATCAGATTTCAGAACAGAAATTTGCACTGTTCCGCTAGGTACAATTCATTAAGTGTAAAATTTTTTAATGAATACTTTGATCAAATCGAAGTATCTGCCTTCTTTTTTACTCCAAAATGTTGTTCCTACAAAACTTCGCAGCTTTTACAAGATTAGCACCGTTGAAAAAAGAAGTTTTTGATATTACCTTCATTATTTTGGTTGTCTCGAGTCTCAAAAAAAAAAATTTTTTTACATAAAACAAAAAACAATCCAGACTCGATGTTCACAGTCATACAAAAAAATTTCAGTACTAAAAAATGAAGCATAAATTTTTGTGAAAGGTAGAAAGAACTTCAGATCATTTTTAGCCCTTGTGTTCTCAATATCTCTTAGAAGAAAGCATTCGAAAATTTTGATTTTTTTATAATCTTTCTTCTACTCATCGAAATATATCTATCCTAAAAGTTACAAAACTGTTCGCCAAGTCATTCTTTACAATCCTCAAAACAAGTGGAAGACACTCTCGACAAATGTCAAACAATATATTTTTCAGTAAACTATTAATATTGGCTGTGCTCAACTGTCCCAAGATTATCTAGAAGAATATCAATTTTCGACTATCAAATGTCAAAACCAAATAAGAGAGAATCGATAAAAGAAATCATCTTATTTGATTGTCTATGCAAATAATATTTAGTATTACAGAATTGTACAACTAGCAAATAGTCCAATGAACGAGTTACACTATCATCTGACAAAATCAAAACAACTAAAATTCTTCTTTTATCTAAAATTGAATCTGTTGAAGTATTAAAATCGACCCCATGTAATCTTGCACTTTCAAAAATAAAAAATTAAAATCAAATATTTCAAAAACTATACATAATTATTTCATATCAAAGCCATGTTCTAGCATTTATCTCATTTTTTTCAAAGATCTTCGGTTTAATACTATATGCTTTTTCCTTTTTAAAAAACCTTTTTATTTTATTTTTATAAATTTTACAAATTGGAAATATTTTTATCAAAACATATCTAACTAATTTTGTATTCGCCTTCAAGTTTTAGATCCGAAGACAGAAGACCAACAAATGTTTCCATTAAATCAAACAGCCAAGAAATTCTCAACTCTTATAGTTTTATTTCTTTGGTACTTTATTTGCACTCATAATTTACATTAGAACGGTCAACATTTTGGAGAAAAAAAGATATGTAAAATATGATAAAGTACTAGTGCATATTTAATGTTATGTAGATCATGAACACTTAAAAAGGTTACAAGTTGAAGTGTGCAAATCTCATTTTACTTCTGAAAAAAATTTAGTAAAATAATGATTCATTACCTTTAATCAAAACAAGTATTTGAGGTACATTCAAGTATCGCTCGAATTCGAATGCCTCTTTATCGAATGTTAATGTAAGCTCATCTAGTCGATGTTTCATAAATAATTTTAAAGTTTTATTTAATGATTCAACCAACAAGCATCGAGTAAGAACAACTGATTTAAGATTAGGATAACGATGAATATTTCCATCATGATTGTTATTATTATAAAATAGCCATTCATATATAAAATCAGAAGCACTTGAATTTGTTCCATCAAAATGAATACGATGAATATAAGAAGCAAGAGATGGTGATGATGAATTACAAATTAAAGGAAACAATGTTGAGCAGCATTTTTTAAAAGATAAACCTGGCTCAGTAAGGTTAATACCATTTGTAGACAGGATTGAGCAAATAAGAGAATTGAATCGTTTATTCAATGACCATAAAGAAGTTATCATTTCAAACCATGATAGACACGAGAATATAGAAAGAAGAACTTCATTTGGTAATGTTTCCAATCTATTTATCATCTTATCTAAAAGGCAAATAGTTAGTTAAAAAATGGAAACGATATTTTCCACTTCCACTGTTATTTTTTAAAATAAAATAACTTCATATTCAAAAATCATTTGCAGAAAACTGAAAAGAAGAACAGTTTCTTTGTTTATTTCAAACCATACACACGCAAGAGATTATCCTTTCGCAGTTTTTTTCCTTCTACATGTCACTTTGAACTTCTCCATGCTGTACTGATCAATATGATAATAGACTGATGCCGATAAAGGCATCTGTAAAAAGACTTCTCTGCATATTCCTCATATATACACTATAATTTGTACACTATTTATTAAATTAAATAAAGCAGTTTCATCAACTTTCATATCGTGATAAAATATGCAAAAAAAATCAATTAACTCTTATAAGGATCAGTAGACATTTTTTTATAAAAAGATTTATTATCTCAACAAAAGAAGGATATTACCTAAAATTCGCACATAATTTTTTTCGTATATATTTATCGGTTTTAATTCGAATAAAAAAAAATCGTTTAACTATATATCTCTGATGAATTAATGTTTTGCCAAGATTATTTTCTGCAGCCTAGAAAATAATTTCTTAGTAGTTCGAGTGCATATCTTATTTCGTTACTAAGGCATTTTCTATCAATATTATTTTTGCTATGTCTAACTCCATCATAGAAATAAAGATACAATCATTTCAAGAAAAAATAAACGCCAAATAAGAAAATATATTAATATATGGGTCACTCTCTAAATAAATATATGCATTTTTAGTCGTCTTCTGCAGCTATAAGGTTTCTTCGAGTTTTTTTTGAACATCAAAATTGTAAAAAGATCTTAAAAAATATAACATTTCGTGGATAACTCAACGAACTGTATCCAACCAAGGCAAAAAAACTGATAAAAAAGTTTGCTCAAATTTCGAATTTCTCGCAATTTAAGTAAACGAGAAAAGATTCATAAAGCAAAATCAAGTTAGTATAGGATGATGAACCATTTGAAATATTAGTTCCATATAATGCAATATTTACAGACAAAAAGAATTGAGACTTTCTAGAATTATTTATATCATATATGTAATTAAAACTGAAATAAAAATCGGTGACTCAACTAATTTCCTCTCTTCGCAAGTTTTGAGAATGTACAAGTACAACTAATACATGTACACTTAATGTCATTTATTTCAATATAAAGTTTCTTTTTTTTAAATTTTTTCTGATTATTAGACACGTAAAAAACAAGATCTCAACTTCGAGTTTTAATAATACCAAACTCAACGGGTTCATATCCATTTGACGTCACACTCCAACCCTCAGGCTTGATCAAGAAACATTCTAATTTCTTAATTAGCAATTAGCCTCACCACTGAAAGGCATTCTCTTCAACTGAAACTTTGTCAAATCACAGAAGAAAAACACAGCTTTACGTCTCATACTCCATTTGTACTGCACGTATTTGTTTCAGGTAATGAAGTCGCGCATTTTTATTCTTGCTTAAATCCAATCTCTAAATCTTCAACTAAAATCAATCAAGAGATCACTTATTGATCTACCCGTGACAAACCTCATAATCCCTGATTATCTGCTCTTCACATATGGCTCAAAGAATCTCAAAAGTTCTTTTCTATTCAGTTCAAGAATATGAAACAAACCTGAGTTTGGGATTAATTTTATCACTAATTTCGAACGAAAATAAGACAAAGCTCCTAGAACAAAAGTAATCTGGCCAAGAAAAGAATTCATTTGTTACACAATTATACGTGTGCAGAGAAAAAAAGAAATAATATTTTCATCTTTTGTATAATTTTAACATTCCAAATAAGAATGAAGATATATGAAAGAGGTCATTTTTTGCCTCCTTTCTTTCTTTATATTTTTACCTTAGCATATATCAATTTGACGAAAAAATTTCTCATCCGCGAATGTGGGGTCAAACATAATAGAAAAATAAAAATTGAATTAAGATATTTAATTGGTGTTGCTACTTAGAGACACCAATCAAATTTCTTAATTCAGTTTTTATTTTTATTTTTGTATTGCGTTTGACCCCTATGACGATTGGTTAAGAAATTATTGTTTTCTCTTGATTTATTAGAATATGGTATGAGAATTCTATTGAAGTGTAAAAGAAAATATAAATATGTCCATATGATGTAATTTAATTAAAGATCTGAATAAAAAAATACCAAAAAATAAGAATATCTTCAAATTCAAATAAATGTAGATGATTTGATTCATTAGCAAACGAGTAAATTTTTGTGAATAAATTCTATTTGTACGTTAAGCCTTTTTCATCTGACAACAATCGAAAAAATAAAAAGCTTTTCCAACTGAAATTTACTATGATTCTGGATACAGTTAGATATTTTTTTGATTGAATGATTTTTTTTGCATCCCAAGAGAATGACGGGGGGTCGAAACCTGTCGGACGGATCTCAAATCCGTTTATATCCGACGACCGGATGTTTTTCCGATGTAATCCGGCACGGATTCTCATGCGCAGGATTCCGACACCAACCAAGTAGGATCTGATGAACATCACCACGGATTTCGACGGATTCCGACGCAATCCGCTACGTATACGATGGCTTCCGACATGATCCGGGTGCCAGATCCGCTGATCTACAATACTCACACCGCGGCATCGGATTCTATCGGATGCCTTTCGGAACCAGTCGAACAAGAGGATCGACACTTTTCCGACGTATTCCGGTCCGAAGTCCGAAGACAGGAACCTAACGAAAACTACCAAACAAACAGACCCATTCTTAAATCAAAGACATGGGCTATCAAAATGATCCGGTATCAAATCACATTCTACACTTTCGCCTACGAAATATATAAAACAATAGCTGACCAACAAACGGATCGTCTCCGCTAGCACAAACTACTAGGCTGACCCCAAATACATTATATATTCAAAATACTTTCACACATATCGCAGTATAATATAAGCACACCCAAGCCTCAATATTCCATTCCGCAAAAAAAATTAACTACGCAATAACATATCAATCTCTTTCACCAACAAACAAAGCTAAAATCAAATTACATAGATGCGACCACAAATGCAATTTGCAACTATCATAGATTCGCCAACTCAGCTGAGCAAAACTACCTATCAGTGAGCATTCAACACCAATTTCAATCCATTCTGTCTAATGCACAAGGAACATCGAGTGCCGCGCAAAGAAAACCCTACACCAAAACAATTCGCCTGCCATCTCAAGAATAATTCTTCTTGCCGAAACCATCCGTACATCTGAATCATAAAGCTGAGCCAAAATGAGCACAAGCCGCTCATTTCAATCGACATCACACCAGGCACAAAGATTGCAAAATTTCATATGAAAAACATGCTAACACCAAACTTTACAGATACGGTCTGCAAT